GTTGGAGTCCCCAAACTTCCAATTCCTCTCTCCTCTTTTTCCTTTCTCCTTGCATTACCTCTATCTTCCCTTTGTCCTAACTTTTAAAGGGCCAGACTCTCTGTACGTCATCAGTTGATAACCCAATAGAAGCATTAGAGGTGTGGTTATCTACCAGATCGCAATTTAGTTATTTGGTCTATAGAGGGCAGTCTTGTCCCACTAAACATACCTATCCAGGAAAGAGTTAACTTTTCCTGGTGGCTATTTTGACGTCATTTTGGCCTATCTTTATAGTGCCATAACTCAGATTTTCTGTCAGATAAAAACAGTTTCTTTAAGTTTTGTCCAGAATATGTGTCTGGCAAATCTGAGTTTTGACCCATAACTTACAATGGGACCTTATACATATAGACAGTCTATCCAACCTCCCCGTTCTCCTTATCACTTGGTTTGTATATACTATGCATTCCTTTAGCTCTGGCAAAGTGGTTAGTTTTACAGAAAGAAATCTTGTGTCTTTTTGTTAACTTGGAAATAACAAAATGGAGTCTGGTCTGTTCAGAGTGACTCAGAATATACACTTTTAATTTCTATCATAGCACAAGATGTCTGCCGATATAAATACCCTGACATATAATATATCCGTAAATCCGCCAGGACCTGGTGCTTTTCCTTTAGGCATTTCATTTATGAGATTTATTACTTCTTCCGTGGTAATGGGTGCTATCAGCTGTGTTGATTGATGTCCTTGAATCTTGGTTAAGTCCAGTTTATCTAAGTACTGTCGTATTGTGGCTGAAGCTGGTTGTGATGTATTTTTCTGATCTTTCAGGCTGTATAATGTTTTATAATAACTTGCGAATTCATCGTATATCTGGGTAGGTTGGAGTATCTTTTGTCCAGATTCAGACAGTAAGAATGGGATTCTAAATTGTGCTTGCTTATTTCGCAATTTCTGCGATAGAAACTTTGTTGCTTTATTGCCCATTGAATAAGATGTAGCCTTAAGTTTTCCCAATGCAATGCTAGTTTGTCGAAAATGGATCTTATTAATATAATTTTTGCGTATGATGTATTTGCTCTTGTACCTGTAGAGACGGATTAGCCTGATTTTGTCTATGCAGATTTTGAAGCTTTGTGAGAAGGTTCAACAAGGCAGTTTGGGTAGGTTTTTTTAAGGTTTGCCGCAGAAGTCCTCGTATTACCGGCTTGTGAGCTAGCCATAGCGTCGTTGGATTAATGTCTTCTGAATTGTTGGTGATGAAATATTGCTGTAGTTCTTGTATAATTTGATTTCTGAATTCTAGATAATTTAATCACTGTTCATTTAACCCCTTAAGGACACATGACATGTGTGACATGTCATGATTCCCTTTTATTCCAGAAGTTTGGTCCTTAAGGGGTTAACCTCCAAGGACTTTTTTTTACATATCTATATTGGTCCGTTAATATGAGTATTACAGGGTTATGATCCGATTTTGTAGATACTCTGATCTCGCAGGACTTGATTTGTGAAAGATGTGAACTGTGTAGTGATGTCCCGAATGGTTTGCCGAACAGTTTGCGAACGGTTCGCCACAAACGGTTCGACACGGACTCATCATTGAGTAAACTTTGACCCTGTACCTCACAGTCAGCAGACACATTCCAGCCAATCAGCAGCAGACCCCCCCTCCCACCTCCTGGACAGCTCACTTGGAATGCAGCTTCAAAATGGAAGCGATCACATGGCCCCCTATAGCTGGCTGTGGATCTGCCAGCAGGCAGTAGAATTTACGTAGAATTTAAATACCTATACATTTATATATATTACAATTCCACGTGTATATTTAAGTAATTTTTTAACATAATTATGTGATTTGATTAATTAAAATTTGATTGACATGCCTGACAACACAGGGAGAAAGTGCAGAGAATTTAATTTGCAAGCACTATATTTGACCCTGTAACTCTCCAAGACACCAAATAACCTGTACATAGGGGGTACTGTTTTACTCGGGAGACTTCGCTGAACTCAAATATTAGTGTTTTATACTGGTAAATTGTATTACTATGATGATATTTTAAGTAAAAGTGACGTTTTTTGCATTTTTTACAAACTAACTGCTTTTTTTTGGTCTATATTATTATTGTAATATATTTTACTGTTTTAAAACACTAATATTTGTGTTTAGTGAAGTCTCCCGAGAATAACAGTACCCCCCATGTACAGGTTTTATGGTGTTTTGGAAAGTTAGAGAGTCACATATAAGGCTTGCATTTAATTTTTTTGACATTGAAATTTGCCAGATTTGTTATGTTGCCTTTGAGAGCGTATGGAAGCCCAGGAATGAGAATTACTCCCATGATGGCATACCATTTGCAAAAGTAGACAACCCAAAGTATTGCAAGTGGGGTATGTCCAGTCTTTCTTAGTAGCCACTTAGTCACAAACACTGGCCAAATATTCGTTTTTTGCTTTTTTCACACAAAAACAAATATGAACGCTACCTTTGGCCAGTGTTTGTGACTAAGTGGCTACTAAAAAGACTAAACATACCCCAGTTTCAATACTTTGGGTTGTCTACTTTTTCAAATGGTATGCCATTATGGGGGTAATTCTCATTCCTGGGCTACCACACCGTCTCAAAGGTAACATTACTAATCTGGCAAATTTGAATTTGAAAATGGAACGTTCTATATTTGACCCTGTAACTTTCCAAAACACCATAAAACCTGTTAATGGGGGGTACTGTTGTACTCGTGAAACATCGCTGATTACAAATATGTGCATATTTTTGCAGTAAAACATAACAGTATTATGACATTCACAGCTAAAATGTCAGACGGAAATACACATTTTTTAAGAAAAATCTTATTTTCTCACATTTTTTAAAATTGTATTCATAATAAATTATGTTCCATATATGAATAGTTAATGATAAATTAAAGCCCTGTTTCTCCTGAACAAAATGATATATAATAAGTGTGGGAGTACGGTTGAACAGACATATAGCGCAAATTCCAGTTTTTGTTTACGTTTTGTTTTGATCAGAACGTGTACTATTGACTCCGTCCTGAAGGGGTTAATAAGCAAATCTTCCAAGTAAATATTTATGCTGTTTGTAACCCCTAGTGTATATAGTTTTATCAGCTTATATATTTTTGACAATAAATTAAAAGAAAGATAAATGTGACCATATGGCAAAGAAAAAATACTAAGGGTACTTGAAATCAAAGGAGATCTACTAAACAGTGTTATCTAAGATATTCTTTAAAGATAGGTCAGGGAAAGAATGTTCCATTAGGCATTTTCCATTAAGCAATTCTGCTAATATACTATTATTCTTGCTCTGCCGATTTAATATAGAATTTTCTGGTTTTGCAAAATTGTTTTCAAATTTGGTCTATTGCATAGCAATATATATATGTGGTATAATGGCTGTCAGTTCATACTGTTTACCCATCTCTATTAAGCGTTTATAAACATAATAAATAGTGATGTGTCGGGCCATAAGTCCGATCGGTTATACTACTGCTGATACTCCTATGTATGTAATGGTAGCCGTTTAACCCATGATGTATCAAACGCCAAGATAGTTGCATCCGATTGAGAAAGCCCCACGGCGAAAACGCGTCTCGGAACTCCAAGGAAGACCACCCCAGAGACTTTTACTTTTTGGTATCTGTATATACAGTTTTACTTTGCTTAATTGTTTTTTTTTTTTTATAAATTGTTACTTTTACCTTATACATCTGGTAGTGGATCTTCAACTGCTTCCTGCATTTTCTAAAGAAGGGTAGTGCCTCCCTTAAAGGCACCACACGCTTATACATAGAGCCTAGTACAATTGGCTCTATTCCAGGTGAGCACATTCATGCACTGTTATATGTGACCACTTGTTTATTTTAAACATACTTGCACTAGGATTTTTGTCCTTTTTTTATCCACATATGTTGTGAGCTGTATATCTGGAGAAGGTCTGGTATTACCAAACATACCTCAGCTGTTGTGATTTGAGCCAATCTCCAGGCTCTTTACCATGTGAGTTGGACATACATCTTCTTCCACTCCATTCACACCTTACAAGCATACTGCACTATGATGTGTATTTTCTTGTTGTAGATTTTATTATGCTGTCTGCCCCTTAAAGTGATATATACGTTATTCCAATAGGGGTAAGAATTTGATATTTAGCGCTCCACTGAGTGATCTTTTGGTGGTAGTACGATCCACTAAGTTCACTTTTTTCTTTCACATTGTGTTTGTGTAGGATTGGGATACCTGCATGCGTGTTTGAGCTGCTGTTCTATTTATATATTATTGTTAAGCGCCTAATTGCACAGAGCACCTTTTTCTAGTCAATAATAAGTGTCAGTATTCAATATAATATTGAAAAGAATTAAATAGTGTTACTTGTGATATGATATGTCTTATAATATATTATATAAAGATCCATAATTTAAGTTATCAAGATTTAAGGATACAGTGTAATTAGTATACTTCCAAGGTATGGTATATAGGTTGTCAGTACCTGATTTTTACTTAATTCCCAAATGATGCTTTATTGCTATTCAACCATCCCTAGTCTGTATAAAGATCTCATATAGTTTATAGTTAAATGAATGAATATAGTTAATTAGTTAATTAGATCTTAAGGCATAGAGTATATATCATAAACCCATTGGGCTTTTATGTTAGTCATAACGATCTAAAAGCTTATAGTCTACTAAATAAGGATAAAATAAAAAAAGGGAAATAAGGGAATAATAGGGTGATTGAAATAAGATCTTGACCTAATATTATAGTTCACCCGATAATTCTCTCGTTAACCGTTAACCGTATACTGATATCCTAATATAATAGTTAGCATAATATAACATCATAAGGTCAAAGTATTCACCTATTGCAGAAATATTTAGCAAAAACAATAAGAATAATAAAAATAATAGGAATAACAAGACCAAATTCTGGTAGCTTGCAGTAACTTGCGGTTTAAAGTTTCTGGTTTCCTTAATCCTTAGTTAATCCTTAGTTCTTAGTCTTCTTTCGGGAAGACTTTCTTAGATCTAAGTGACCGGCCGTCTTCATGAGGCTGCTTGCTTAACGAAGTAGTATCTATTCCACTTAAAGGGATATCCCATTTCCGTAACACCTCTAGCCCTTCTGCCGGGGTAGTTATTGTAGTGATTTCTCCTTCTTTTCTAATGATCAATTTAGCAGGATACCCCCAGCGGTAAGGAATACTATTATGTCGAAGCTGGTCTACCGTGCCTTTGTATAATCTTTGCCGTCTTAAAGTTTCAGCCAATAAGTCCATAAACATAAGAACTTCCTTGAATTTTTCTGGGATTCCTTTATTGTTCCTGTTGGCCCAGAGGATCTGTTCCTTAATATGAAAGAAATGCAGCCTCATAATGATGTCTCTCGGAGTAGAGTCAGGTAATTGTTGTGGTTTTGGTACTCTATGTATTCGGTCTAATAACAGCTTCTCAGTCGGTATTTCTGGCAGTAATGCTTGAAGCATCTCAGTAACGTAAGTTACCAGTTCCTGACCACTCACCTCTTCTGTCACACCTCTCAAACGAATATTATTGCGGCGTGATCTATCTTCAATATCCATGATTTTGGATTCCTGAAAAGCTATTTTCTCTTCGAGTCGCTTTATACAATCACTCATTTCACTATGTACAGTGTGCAGGGCTTCCATTTATTTTCCAAGCATTGTGTTCGGGTAGATGGCTCTGTAATATTTTTTTTCGTATCAGCAATTGCATCCGTCACCGTGTTTTGCATTTTAGTGACCGCGTTGTCCAGCATAGCTTGTAACATTTGCTGAGTGATTGGAGCATCCACAGTCTCCCCCTCATCGTTACATGCTGCTTCTGTCTCCATATTAGGATCAGCACTTTCGGTTTGCTCAACTTGTTTTGCTCTTGGCGCAAAGAAAGCTGATTTATCTTTAGCTTCTGTAACTTTTTTCCCTCGATAAGCCGACATAGTGACTCGAATGACTCAAAATCCAATATAGCTCACATATGAGTCGGCTGCGGCTGCGGGTTAGCACAATTATACAATAATGCTTACCTATATTCAATATTACTTGTTTTCTACCTCTCTCTTTGAACGCTTTGAACGCCGACAATTTGACAACCGTTCGCTTTCCCATGCAACGCTCAGGGTAAGGTCAGGGTCCGGGTCTGAGTATGGGTCCGGGCAGGGTCCAGTAAGGATCGGCCTTATTTTCTTTCCCTCAGCCGCTTGTTGAGCCTGTAGTGTCGTCGGAACTGTCCGAGCTTAGCTAGTACGTGCCATCACACTCGACGTCCGACTTCCGACCATGCCCCCATCTATTAATAAATTTACAAGTTTAAAGGAACACTCCAATCACCATTTCTACTACAGGAGTTCAGTCCCTTGGTAAAATGTCAACGGTGGAGAAGCTGGAATGTTCTATAGAGCTCACACAAGCAGCGGTTGCCCTACTGCATTGTGCCAGTATAGTTAGTGCGCAATTGTAAAAAATGAATATATATATATATATATATATATATATATATAATAATCCACAATGTCCTTGCACACTGGCTCCAAAATAGTTAAACCTTGTTTATTCATCCATTTTAAAAAAGCTGCTCAACGTTTCAGTCCTCGTTTGGGACTTTCATCAGGAACATTCCTGATGAAAGTCCTAAACGAGGACTGAAACGTTGAGCAGCTTTTTTAAGATGGATGAATAAAGTTTATATCTTTTAATTACTTATTGGAATCCGAGAGTGCTGGTCATCTTCTCTATTGGTATATATATATATATATATATATATATACACTGCTCAAAAAAATAAAGGGAACACTTAAACAACACAATGTAATTCCAAGTCAATCACACTTCGGTGAAATCAAACTGTCCACTTAGGAAGCAACACTGAGTGACAATCAATTTCACATGCTGTTGTGCACATGGGATAGACAACAGGTGGAAATTATAAGCAATTAGCAAGACACCCCCAATAAAGGAGTGGTTCTACAGGTGGTGACCACAGACCACTTCTCAGTTCCTATGCTTCCTGGCTGATGTTTTGGTCACTTTTGAATGCTGGCGGTGCTTTCCCTCTAGTGGTAGCATGAGACGGAGTCTACAACCCACACAAGTGGCTCAGGTAGTGCAGCTCATCCAGGATGGCACATCAGTGCGAGCTGTGGCAAGAAGATTTGCTGTGTCTGTCAGCGTAGTGTCCAGAGCATGGAGGCACTACCAGGAGACAGGCCAGTACATCAGGAGATGTGGAGGAGGCCATAGGAAGGCAACAACCCAGCAGCAGGACCACTACCTCTGCCTTTTTGCAAGGAGGAACAGGAGGAGCACTGCCAGAGCCCTGCAAAATGAACTCCAGCAGGCCACAAATGTGCATGTGTCTGCTCAAACGGTCAGAAACAGACTCCATGGGGGTGGTATGAGGGCCCAACGTCCACAGGTGGGGGATGTGCTTACAGCCCAACACCGTGCAGGACGTTTGGCATTTGCCAGAGAACACCAAGATTGGCAAATTCATCACTGGTGCCCTGTGCTCTTCACAGATGAAAGCAGGTTCACACTGAGCACAGGTGACAGACGTGACAGAGTCTGGAGACGCCGTGGAGAACATTCTGCTGCCTGCAACATCCTCCAGCATGACCGGTTTGGCAGTAAGTCAGTAATGGTGTGGGGTGGCATTTCTTTGGGGGCCGCACAGCCCTCCATGTGCTCGCCAGAGGTAGCCTGACTGCCATAAGGTACCGAGATGAGATCCTTAGACCCCTTGTGAGACCATACAGGGAGTGCAGAATTATTAGGCAAATGAGTATTTTGACCACATCATCCTCTTTATGCATGTTGTCTTACTCCAAGCTGCATAGGCTCAAAAGCCTACTACCAATTAAGCATATTAGGTGATGTGCATCTCTGTAATGAGAAGGGGTGTGGTCTAATGACATCAACACCCTATATCAGGTGTGCATAATTATTAGGCAACTTCCTTTCCTTTGGCAAAATGGGTCAAAAGAAGGACTTGACAGGCTCAGAAAAGTCAAAAATAGTGAGATATCTTGCAGAGGGATGCAGCACTCTTAAAATTGCAAAGCTTCTGAAGCGTGATCATCGAACAATCAAGCGTTTCATTCAAAATAGTCAACAGGGTCGCAAGAAGCGTGTGGAAAAACCAAGGCGCAAAATAACTGCCCATGAACTGAGAAAAGTCAAGCGTGCAGCTGCCACGATGCCACTTGCCACCAGTTTGGCCATATTTCAGAGCTGCAACATCACTGGAGTGCCCAAAAGCACAAGGTGTGCAATACTCAGAGACATGGCCAAGGTAAGAAAGGCTGAAGACGACCACCACTGAACAAGACACACAAGCTGAAACGTCAAGACTGGGCCAAGAAATATCTCAAGACTGATTTTTCTAAGGTTTTATGGACTGATGAAATGAGAGTGAGTCTTGATAGGCCAGATGGATGGGCCCGTGGCTGGATTGGTAAAGGGCAGAGAGCTCCAGTCCGACTCAGGCGCCAGCAAGGTGGAGGTGGAGTACTGGTTTGGGCTGGTATCATCAAAGATGAGCTTGTGGGGCCTTTTCGGGTTGAGGATGGAGTCAAGCTCAACTCCCAATCCTACTGCCAGTTCCTGGAAGACACCTTCTTCAAGCAGTGGTACAGGAAGAAGTCTGCATCCTTCAAGAAAAACATGATTTTCATGCAGGACAATGTTCCATCACACGCGTCCAAGTACTCCACAGCATGGCTGGCAAGAAAGGGTATAAAAGAAGAAAATCTAATGACATGGCCTCCTTGTTCACCTGATCTGAACCCCATTGAGAACCTGTGGTCCATCATCAAATGTGAGATTTACAAGGAGGGAAAACAGTACACCTCTCTGAGCAGTGTCTGGGAGGCTGTGGTTGCTGCTGCATGCAATGTTGATGGTGAACAGATCAAAACACTGACAGAATCCATGGATGGCAGGCTTTTGAGTGTCCTTGCAAAGAAAGGTGGCTATATTGGTCACTGATTTGTTTTTGTTTAGTTTTTGAATGTCAGAAATGTATATTTGTGAATGTTGAGATGTTATATTGGTTTCACTGGTAGTAATAAATAATTGAAATGGGTATATATTTGTTTTTTGTTAAGTTGCCTAATAATTATGCACAGTAATAGTCACCTGCACACACAGATATCCCCTAACATAGCTAAAACTAAAAACAAACTAAAAACTACTTCCAAAAATATTCAACTTTGATATTAATGAGTTTTTTGGGTTCATTGAGAACATGGTTGTTGTTCAATAATAAAATTAATCCTCAAAAATACAACTTGCCTAATAATTCTGCACTCCCTGTATGCTGGTGCGGTTGGCCCTGGGTTCCTCCTAATGCAAGACAATGCTAGACCTCATGTGGCTGGAGTGTGTCAGCAGTTCCTGCAAGACGAAGGCATTGATGCTATGGACTGTCCCGCCGTTCCCCAGACCTGAATCCAATTGAGCACATCTGGGACATCATGTCTCGCTCCATCCACCAACATCACGTTGCACCACAGACTGTCCAGGAGTTGGCAGATGCTTTAGTCCAGTCCAGGTCTGGGAGGAGATCCCTCAGGAGATCATCCGCCACCTCATCAGGAGCATGTACAGGCGTTGTAGGGAGGTCATACAGGAACGTGAAGGCCACATACACTACTGAGCCTCATTTTGACTTGTTTTAAGGACATTACATCAAAGCCTGTATCAGCCTGTAGTGTATTTTTCCACTTTAATTTTGGTTGTGATTTCAAATCCAGATCTCCATGGGTTGATTTCTATTTTTTAATGTTTGTGTGATTTTGTTGTCAGCACATTCAACTATGTAAAGAACAAAGTATTTCAAAAGAATATTTAATCATTCAGATCTAGGATGTGTGATTTTTGTGTTCCCTTTATTTTTTTTAGCAGTGTATATAGCAAATCAAGAACTCTTGCACTCCAACTAAAAGATTGTTACCCCGTGCCAAGTCACGTGCCGGGTGTCGGGGGGGAGGGGAGGAGGAATGAAATGGGAGGGGGGGAGGAATTAAATGGGAGGGGGGGTGAAATAGGAGGGGAGGAATTAAATGGGAGGGGGAATTAAATGGGAGGGGGGGGAATTAAATGGGAGGGAGGGGGAAGGAAATGAAATGGGAGGGGGTGGAATTAAATGGGAGGGGAGGGAGGAATGAAATGGGAGGGGGGAAGAAATGAAATTTATGGGGGGAAGAAATTAAATTTATGGGAGGGGAGGAATGAAATGGGAGGGGGGAAGAAATGAAATTATGGAGGGGGAAAATAAATTATGGAGGGGGGAAGGAATGAAATTTGAGGAGAGGGGGAGGAAGGAATGAAATGGGGGGGGAAAGAAATGAAATTTGAGGGAGGGGTGGAGGAATGAAATTTGAGGGGGGAGAGGAATGGAATTTGAGGGAGGAGAGGAAGGAAATTTGAGGCAGGGAGAGAGGAAGGAAATTTGAGGCAGGGAGAGAGGAAGGAAATTTGAGGGAGGGAGAGAGGAAGGAAATTTGAGGTGGGGAGAGGAATGAAATTTGAGGGAGGGAGGGGGAGAGGAAGGAAATTTGAGGCAGGGAGAGAGGAAGGAAATTTGAGGGACGGGGAGAGGAAGGAAATTTGAGGGAGGGAGGGGGGGAGAGGAAGGAAATTTGAGGGAGGGAGAGAGGAAGGAAATTTGAGGGGAGGGAGAGAGGAAGGAAATTTGGGGACGGGAGAGGAGGAAATTTGAGGGACGGGGGAGAGGAAGGAAATTTGAGGGAGGGGAGAGGAAGGAAATTGAGGGGGAGAAGGAAATGAGAGGGAGAGAAGGAAATTGGAGGGGGGGAAGGAAATTAGAGGAGGGAGGGGGAGAAGAAGGAAATTGGGGGGGGAGAAGGAAATTGACGGGGGGAGGGGGAGAGATTGACATCCATCACACACACAATGCACCCCTTGCACACAGAAAAAC